GCAATTGATTGCAGATTCCATCTAAGATGTTGGATTAGAGAGAGATTATATATGACAAGAAAAAAATATGATGCATCTTCTACTTACTTGCTTTCTCTTACCTGCCAGCTGGGACAAACCATATTATGAACAGTGACACATGTTAGAAACTGTGAAAGGAGAAAAAAGCTTGAAAAGCCATGGCTTCAGAAGGCAGGAAAGTCATACAGGGAAGTTGTGCTTGTCTCTGTCACTCTGCCCAGAAAGGCTGTTAAATTTTTGTAATTCTTTTTTTGTAAGTAATTCTGCTCCTTGTCTCCCAGTTATGCACGGAGCTGAGTTAGGTAAGAGGGTGAGTAGGATGCTGGTGACACTGGATGCCTTGTGTGCATTAGTTCTGCAGCTACTAATGGAACTGAGAAGTAGAAATTTCAGTAACTGAAAAGTCAGAAATAACTCTGTTGTGTGTTAACATTCATAGGCAACTAGGACACCTCACACAGCTTGCTCAGACCCCTGCAGCTGCTTGTTCAGTCTCCGCAGCAGGATGGGGAGATAATTGGAAGGGCAAAAATGAGAAAACTCATGCATCAGGATTAAGACAATAAGTGAAGAAAAACAAATAAGCAAACAAAAAAAAAAGTGATGCAAAAGCAACCACTCACCACCAGCTGACCAATGCCCAGCTAGTCTCTGAGCAATAGCTACCTTGGAAAACTCCTCCTCATACCTCCCGTGCCTGGGGCTTTACTGCTGAATGTGATGTTATATGCTACAATATTCCTTTGCTCAATTCAGGTCCAGTGTCTTGGCCCTGTCACTGCTCAGCAACTTGCACACCCCTGTGGCAGAAAAAAAAGGCAGACTTCAAGTTGTGTAAACACTGTTCAGCAATAGCAAAAGCATTGGTGTATTATCACCACTGTTTGGTCACAAATTGAATACGTAGCACCATATGGGCTGGTATGAAGAAAACTGACTCCATTCCAGACAGGCCCAGTACAATATCCCATTTTAAAAGGAAAACTCAAAACATTCCAGTGCTAATGAATTAAGTGGTTGGGATTTGCTCTCCTTCACAAAAAGATTAATTGGATGAGGAATAAATTTGTAATTCTTTGGTTCTCTATTTTATTTTAACACATTTTTGCTTCAGTGATTATTTTGCTGCAATGAGGTGGTAAATTGGTGTTTATGACACTTGTCATATGATGTAATACCTTCATCTGTCTAAATCATGATACTAAAACTGGTGAGGCTTCATAACTGGTAGGGTAAACTTCTGTTATGTGCTTAAAAATCTGGAAAAAAAGGTGGTTCACACAATTACACCATTAAGTGCCTTCTATTACTTTCTTATACCAGCCTTGTCTTGTGGGATGGTAATGGACTGGCAAAGCAATACCAGTTTTATTCTTACAGAAAATTCTGTTTCTGCTATTTTAACTAAAAGAGTACCTCGTAATGAATAAGAAAGAGAAAGTTAACTTCCTAAAAGGACAGATAAATTTTGAAATACCACCCCGGTTTCTATTTCTGGCAGAGCTAAAACTGGGAAGAAGCTGAGTGGAAGCTTTTGTATTTTAATCTCTTGCAACCTGTGGAGTTTAATATGACAGAGTTCTTACCATATCAGGCTTGTCTGTCACCTGCTAGAAAGATTTGGACAGTCCAACCATCATTGACAATATCATGTCCAAGGAAAACTCTGTAAAACGCTGTGTGATTTTGTGGCTGCTATTATTGGTCATCAAACTGCATGTCTCTGTCTGACAGTAGCAATTTCTCAGGGAAAAAATGTGGGGCTTTCAATTCCCTGTTTCTTCACTTTCTTTTCCTGTGGAAACACCATCTGGCCTCTTTCCACATATTGTGAAGAGTAAAACAACTTTTGCCTTGGAGAGAATTTAGCTAAATGTTAGAGCCTAAGGATAGGACCACTATTATGACACTGTTTTGAACATTTGAGACGTGCTGTAGAGAGATTCTCTTCAGCATCATTCAAATGCCACAAAACAACAGATTATTTTTTTAAGTTCGATTATAAATAAAAGACTTATAATATAAAATTGTGGATCTTGTGTATGTTTTGTCTTGGCTTACCAATGCATGGTCTGCTTTGAGAACCTATTGACATAAGATGCTGTTCTCTGCTGATTTCCAGCTGCTGAATTGCATTTAAGTTTCTTAATGTTGTTTTTGCTTGTGAATCACTGGTTAGAGGGGAATATTGTAGGAATATCACTGATTAGAGATGATTACTGCAGATGATACCAAGCTGAGTGGTGCAGTTGATATGCTTGAGTGAAGGGGAACATTGACAAGCTTGAGGAATGGGCCCATGTGAAAATCCTGAAAGTCAATAAGGCCAGCTGCAAAGTTCTGCACCTCAGTTGGGGCTATTTTCAATAACAATAGAGGCTGGGGAATGAATGTGTTGAGAGCAGCCTCACAAGGAGGGACTTGGGTATAGTGGTGGTTGAGAAGTTGGATATGAGCTGTCAATGTCCTCTAACAGTGCAAGAAAACCAGCTGTATCTTGGGCTCCAAAAAAGCAAGTGTGGCCAGTGGGCTGACGGAAGTGATTCTTCTGTTATACTACACACTTACGAGACTCCACGTGGAGTACTTCATCCTGCTTGTGAAGTACTAGAATACTGGAGTACTTCAGAAACCCAATGAAGTACTACACGTACAAGAAAGATATACAGTACAAGAAAGTATAAGAAACTTATAGACCCATTATAGTGGGTCTGGAGGAGGACAATGAGAATGGTCAGAGGGCTGGAAAACCTATTCTGTGAAGAAAGTCTGAAAGAGTTGTGGTTGTTGAGCCTGTAGAAGAGAAGGCTCCAGGGAGACCTTATTGTTGTCTTTCAGTACATAAGCAAACTTATGTGAAAGGTGGAGAAAGACTTTTTGTACCAGGACCTGGAGTGACAGGACAAAGGACAACGGTTTTAAACTGAAATAAGATAGATTGGACTAATGGAAGAAATGTTTTGTGACGAGGGTAGTGATGTTTCCCAGGGAAGATGTGAATACCTCATAATGGGAAGTGTTCAGTTAGGTTTCACAAGTCTTTGGATTAGATGATCTTTTGAAGGTCCCTTCCCACTGAGAATTTTTTTGTGAGTCTGTGATTCTATGATCACCCATGTAATACAACAACAGAACTGTCCATAGAATATAGAGTGTTCTCATTTTGTTATGCATGTATTTACGGATCCCTTTGCTAATATTCAAATTCCTTACTTTTTTCCCCTTTGGCTATACTACAGTGTAATATGTACTTTTTCAGTATAATGCATCTTAGAATCGTAGAATCATAGAATAGTTAGGGTTGGAAAGGACCTTAAGATCATCAAGTTCAAACCCCCTGCCATGGGCAGTGTCACCTCGCTCTAAACCATATCACCCAAGGCCTCGTTCAACCTGGTCTTGAACGCTGCCAGGGATGAAGCATTCACAACCTCCCTGGACAGCCTATTCCAGTGCCTCACCACCCTAACAGGAAAGAATTTCCTCCTTATATCCAATCTAAACTTCCCCTGTTTAAGTTTTAACCCATTACCCCTTGTCCTACCACTACAGTCCCTAATGAAGAGTCCATCCCCAGCATCCCTATAGCCCCCCTTCAGATACTGGAAGGCTGCTATGAGGTCTCCACACAGCCTTCTCTTCTCCAGGCTGAACAGCCCCAACTTTCTCTGCCGATCTTCATATGGAAGGTGCTCCAGTCCCCTGATTATTCTCGTGGCCCTCCTCTGGACTTGTTCCAACAGATCCATGTCCTTTTTATGTTGAGGACACCAGAACTGCACACACTACTCCAGGTGAGGTCTCACGAGAGCAGAATAAAAGGGCAGGATCATCTCCTTTGACCTGTTGGTCACACTCCTTTTGATGCAGCTCAGGACACGGTTAGCTTTCTGGGCTGCAAACACACACTGCTGGCTCATGTTCATTTTCTCATCGACCAGCACCCCCAAGTCCTTCTCTGCAGGGCTCCTCTGAATCTCTTCTCCACCCAGCCTGTAGCTGTGTCTGGGGTTGCCCCACCCAGGTGTAGGACCTTGCACTTGGCATGGTTAAACTTCATGAGGTTGGCATTGGCCAGCTCTCAAGCGTGTCAAGGTCCCTCTGGATGGCATTCCTTCCCTCCAGCGTATCAACCTAACCACACAGCTTGGTGTCATCGGCAAACCTGCTGAGGGCACACTCAATCCCACAGTCCATGTCAGCGACAAAGATGTTAAACAAGACTGGTCCCAACACTGATCCCTGAGGGACACCACTCGTAACTGGTCTCCAGCCGGACATTGAGCCATTGATCACAACTCTTTGTGAATTTTAATGATTTTTCTAAAGTTGTTTTTGTCATCCTGTAAGTTGAAGAAACAGAAAGTACAATGTGAATAAATGTAACCTAGAATATTACAAGGGCCTTAAGATCAATCCAACAAGAATGATAACTTTCAATAAAGAATATAATGAAACAAATGCACGTCCGTTATATTTTATAATCAGAAGCATGAAGTGCTGCATACCAGAGAGAGAATTCTTAATATTGTAAGTTTAAGAGGTTCTGTAAAAAATACTAAGATACTTTCAGTTAGCGCACAAGTTTTCTAAAGTAGCCAAACCAAAAGCCAACTTCTCTAGTTTCAGCTGGTGTCAATAGGTATCTTAACCCTGGTAGAATCAAGATCTTTGCAAGCATTTATTGGGTCTTTTTAAACTTGCCAAAACCATTGCAGATTAAGGAAAATGCATTTGAGTGTTACATAGCACTATTGCTGCCTCCAGTATTAGTAACCATTGCAGAAAATATTTATTAATCTCTTACTCGTCACCAAATTAAGGATGGTTGTTTTGTTTGTTTTTGTGTTTGTTTTCTTTTTTTTTTTTTTTACTGTACTAAGTATGTCTTTTAGTTTTACTTTCTCCCTTTTAAAATACTTTTTAAAAAAATTATTTATTTATTTAAACATGCTGATTTTATTATCTTTCCCTCACAGGCTGCTTAAAAAATCTCAGAGTGCTCAATGTGAGTTTCAATAATTTGAAGTCAGTTCCTCCAGAACTGGGTGACTGTGAGAATCTAGAAAAACTGGATTTGTCTGGAAATATGGAAATAACAGAGCTCCCATTTGAAGTAAGATAATAAACTATGCTTCTTGAATTTTTTATTCAGCTTATAAGGTATTTTATCACAGTCTTAAAATCTTTTCTTATCAGATTAAATCACATTCCTTGGAGTTTTTATCAATCATATTTGCTTAGTAGTCTCACTGAAAATGCCTTAGCAGCAGTTGAATGGGACCAAGCTTCTTTATTTTTGTTTTCAAGTGACTAAATTTTGCTTGTATTTATTCTGATATATGAAGGAGGACATGACCCCAAAGGGGATTTGGCCTACAGTGATAAGGAGAATGCTGCAAATAGCTGTCTTCTGTGAAAGTGAAGTGCATCTTGACAGTCAAATTCACATATTAACCTTCATTTGTTCCCACTGTTTGTTTTCCTTTAAAAAGAGTATGGAGAGTTCTATAAAGAACACTGCATGTTACTATGGACAAAAGTGTCTGTCTGGAAACGATCCTACATATGAGACATGATATGAATATATAATAAAGACTGAGAAAAGGACTCCCAGGCATGCACTGACATTGTATTTTGTGTTGGATGCATAGCTGCTCTTTGCCACAGCAGCTTTGAGAGTTATTGTTCATGGAGAAATGAAACCATTTGCTGGTACTTAACTACAGTTTCAGATGTCGTCCATATTTGTCAGGGTCTTAATATCATGATTCCTGGAGGATGAGCAGGAGGATCTTTAGAAAGAAGTGTCAGGCTTTTCTTTAGCTATTCCTACTTTTTCTCTGAACATCTGTTACTGGTGATTACAGGCAATGTTGAAGCAGACTAAACTTGTGTGAGATATGGTCTGGCCATATTTACGTTCTGTTCCAAGGACATGCAAACAGTAATTAACTTTCCCCTCTGACTTCTCACTTAAGGTATTTTATCTGAAAATAATTGTTAGAAATGATGTGCAGGAAACAGAAACAAAGGGTGAACATTAACTGAGTTGCGTTGCAAAGCAGCTCCCTCGCTGCGATCTATTGAGAATCAGCCCTTGACACAAGCTGTCTGGCTGGGTTTAAACCACGACAACTTCACATCATAAGTGAACACTGCACAGAATGCCAGCAACAGCATGAATAGTGCAGGTCTTTCTCCTTTCTCTCCCTCAGACAACAAAGGTAAGGAACAAACCAGATGAAACTTAACTGGTAAAAGGAACTGTAATGGAATCAGAAAAACATATATCTTGAACAGGCAAAGGAATTAAATATAAGCATCTAAGAAAACTGAATATATTCAATCCTGTGGACTAGAATGGTGAATTTAAACCCAGTCATTGGTATGTTAAGATCAATGAATAATTTTGTAGCTGTTTCTAAATGCCTTGTAATGCACAAGCTTACCCGTGTCTATGCATGTCGTGATTAAAGCCTAGCTGGTAACTCAGAGCCATGCAGCTGCTCACTCACACCCTGTCTTCCCCAGGCAGGAAAAGGAGAAGAACAGAAAGAATGTAAAACTCGTGGGTTAAGAACAGTTTAGTAACTAGCATACAATAAATTACTACTACTAAGGGGAATAACAAGGGGAGAGAATATAAAACTAAAAGGGGAAAGGAAAAAAATACAGCAGACTAGCAGTGATACACAGTGCAATCGCTCACCACTTGCTGACTGATACCCAGATTGACCTGAGCAGTGAGCTGGGCTGTCTGGGTGACTCCCCCCGGTTTATATACTGGGCATGACATGCTGTGGTATGGAATACCCCTTTGGCTAGTTTGGGTCAGGTGTCCTGTCTCTGCTTCCTACTGGCTTCTTGTACCCCTCCTCACTGGCAGAGCATGAGGGACTGAAAAATCCTTGATCAGGATAAGAGCTACTGAGCAACAACTAAAACGCTGGTGTGTTACCATCCTTGTTCTCAGACTAAAGTCAAAACACAGCACTGCACCAGACACTAAGAAGAAAATTAACTCTATCCCATCTGAAACCAGAACAGTGCATTGTGGGCAGCCTTTGCATGTAAACTTATCTCTGCATGAAAATCTTTCCAGGGATGAGTCCTAAGAGACCAGTCTTTTCCTTGCAAAGCTCAAAAACATTGCTAATTTTTGACAGTCTCTTCTTCAATGAGGTTGAAAGCCTCTAAAACTGAGTGTAGGCTGCTGCACAATGGCTTCCCTACAAGCTATGGAAAAAAACCATGGAGCTGTACAAATGATGTTACAGAACAGCAAAACCAGGAATCATGTCAGCATGGTTTAAAAGGTCAAGAAGAAAACTACTGACATTGTCTACTGTGTTTCTTTGTTTCTGTGGAGTGTAGAATTGATTTATACTTGAAGTGGCCTGGAAGGTGGGCTACACAAACTCTTCTGATTTAGTTTATGAAATTAGTTGACCAGAGTCAATATTTCAAAGGCAGCTTTGGAAGCTGAACATATGATTAAACTAACACCTTTGTCAAATGATTAAAATGCTGTAAACTGTTTGGCCTTGGATGCACTCAATATGGTTGATGTTATTCATAGAAATTGGATTGTTAATGTTACTGAAATAAGAGGTGCCTGAGGTTTGAACCTCAGATGGACAAAGATGATAGTCACTGAGAGGTAACTAATGAATTAAAATATTGAATTAGTCTGGAAAGTCTAAAAAAGGAAAACAGAAAGACATATGAAGTGTTACAGTCAGCTAATCTTGGCTAATAGCAAAAATGCCCACCCAGCTGCTCACTTCTTCCCCCTCTTCAGCATGACATCAGGAGAAAATAAGATAGAAAAGCTCATGGGTCAAGTTTGTTTACCATTTAATGTTGTAGCCAAGACAGATTGTACTTGGTGAAGGTTAATTTAATATTTGCCAATATGTAAATAGGTAGTGAGAAACAAGACATTAAAACATCTTTTTCCCACCTTCTCAACGTCACTCATTCCGATTTCGCTGCCTTTTTTCCCTTTCTATAAAGATATTTTTAGAGTGACATCACGTGCTTAGCTGTGGAGATCAGGTGTGACTGGTGGGGGGTCCATTGAAGTCAGCTTGAACTGTCTGTGTTCAGTTTGGGGCAGCCCCTGGTGTCTTCCCAGCCAGACTACCATTTCAGCCCCCATACTGCCAACATCTCGCTATGGGCATCCAATACAAGTATTTATGACCCCAAGTTAGAATTAGACCAAATATTACCTAATGCAATTGTGGCTAACAGCTGTTAATCCAGTGGAATATTCATATGGGTTGGTCATCATTGTCTTCTGTGGTATGAGTATTGGGAACTGGAGACTGTAAATGAACAAGGATGTGCAGGCTGTGATCTGGTAGGTGAAGGGTTTCTCTTTACAACATTAAGAAAAGTTGGCATCCTACACACAAAATAAGATAGAGGCTCCTGTTTATCGTCTTTTAGTAAGTTTAATTTTTATTTGACTTTCAAATCCTTAAAAGTTTCTTCTGGGAAAGCTACAGAAATACACGAGAATAGCAACAGTATTTTCTAATGTTAAACTTACCCAAAAGAAATAAAGGCAAACTTCAGCCCAGCTGAGCTGATCAAAATCTAATTTTACCTTGGTTTTGTACATCGAATAATGTCGAAAGTGATACTGATAGCATATATGAAAATGGATTCAGAGAGATTGATAACATGCCTTTAATTCAGTCAAGAATTTTTGTCAGGCCCATAAAAGTTTATGAGATCATCAGAACTCAAGAGACTGAATTACATCTTCAGTAATCAGTCTCCCTGTTCCCTTTCTATCCATTTTCTTTATGACAAGAGCAAAAAATAGAGCAGTCTTGAAGCTTTTAGTCCATTTGATCATTAAGTTGTTTGCTTTACAAGGAAAAGAGTTCAGTTTTGGTTTTTGGGGGTCATTTTTTTGTCTTTTTTTTGTGTGTGTGTGTTTTTTTGTTTGTTTTGTTGTTTGCTTAGTAGACACAAAATATTACATGATGAGCTATTTTAGGGGGAGAAATCTGAATAAGATCATGAGTGTAGTTGCTACCCAGAAGTGGTAGTGGGTGAGCATAAGTTAATACAGAAAACCATACAGTGTCACCAAACCCCATTTTGAATTAAAGTCCTTAATTTGTGAAGTCAGCTACCATATACATATGTGTATAAATTTTTAATGGCATATCAGTTGTTTCTGTGCCTGAATTTGTCAAGCCATATAAGAAATTCACAGACTGTTATGATGTCTGTTGTCTGTTAATTTGTTTTGTAAACAGGGAAACTTCAGGAAAGACAAGATGTTAAGCTTGTTCTGCTACTGTTTTTCAGGTAAACTACAGTTGTTAAGGAGGTTTCCAGCATGTATACTGACTATACTTCTTGCCTTTTTAATCTACCAATTTAATCCTTCAATGCAGGCTTTTTAAGTTGAGGTATGCTATGAGCGAGATGCTCTAGCATAACTGAAGTCTTGTGTGTCTTTGTTCTCTGTTAATAGATTCAATATCTGGTACTGATACATTCACCTTTTTCAGTGTCTGGAGTAAAAAAACACACCCCAAACCATAGCATTCTACTTGGCCTAATGCAGCCTATGAATTGGCTGTATCAGCCTACTAGGAACATGTATGTCCAGTACACAGACTTTTGCAGTATTTCTGTTTGGGTGTGCTGTGAAGCCATGCTTTGAGTAACATGCCTCATGCAATAGCCTCGGGAGTCAAGCACACTGCTCACTTGTCTGCTTCTTGTAAAAAGCTCTTTCCCTGTTTTCAGAGGTCACTTCTAACACTTTGTATATTATCTCACTGAATCTTAAAATGAGATAATCTGATGCTTCATGAAAAAAATGGAGAGTGTGTATTATCATCTTTTACTTGCACAAGGCTTAGGATTTCATACCATTCCATACTATGCCTAAGGAAGAGCAAGCTGGTTCAGTGTTTTTTTCCCAATTTATTTTTCTCTATTCTTCTGTTTCATGTTTAACATTTTATATTTTAAAACCTTCTGTTTAACTTTAGTATTAGATTAGTGTTAGTTGCAAAGTCCTTTGGAAGTAAGGGTTTATGGATCTGCAGTTCAATTAAAATCTATTTTGGCCATATTTAT